AATGTATTTTATTTTCGGATTTTTACTGAATATGCATATTATACAGAGGTAGCGTGGGATGGGGTACCGAGAGAGGGGGAGGGAGGGCGACAGTGCATAAACATTGTATCATAGCCATACAAAAAGTATTAATAATAATAACATCTGTGCATAGAATTGGATATTCGTCATTAGGCACAATTTACCAGCTTCTGACTATAATACATATATACATATATACAATGGCAGTTCTATTCAAGTTTGCCTGAAACATTCTAAGGCACTAATTTGCATCTGTCCGCCCTAACTTTTAGGACCGCCGGGGCGGGAAGGGAGAATGGTGGGGGGTTAGCGAGGCTGTGCTATGGCATAGAGTATTTATTATATTGTGTTGATGTTGAAGAGAAGGGCAAAAGGGAAAATGGTCAGTTAGAGGATGTTACACGGTGTTAGCTTGGTAAGCCCTTTTTTACTGAGGAGCTTGGTAGAGTATCAAATATGCCGCAGCCTCTTTTATGTCTTTCCATATCTATAGTCCATCCATCTGCGCCACCTTGTTTCATGTCTACGTTGCCTCTCAGTGATACGACTTGCCATGTGTTCGTAATTATATATCGAGTCTAATCTGCCCAGAATCTCTGATAGCGTGGGCACCTGTGTGGATTTCCACTTTTGGGCAATCGCAGTTTTAGTTGCCATTAGGCAATGGATCGTTAAATAGCTTTCCTCTTCGTGGAGATTGTCTGGGAAAATGTGTAGTAAAAAGCTTTCTGGTGTCAGTGGAACCTTGATCCCTAGATCCGTGCAAAAAAGTGTGTGAATAGCCTTCCATAATGATGTGATCTGTGTACATGTCCAAAATATATGGTATAGGGATCCCTCTTGATTTTGGCATCTCCAGCAGAGTTTGTTCGCACCTGGGTATATGTGTGCCAATTTTTTGGGGACCAGGTACCAGCGCATAGTTAGTTTACAGTAGGTTTCCCACTGGTTGAGGCTATGTGAGGCCTGCTTTGTTAGCTTCTGAGCCTGATGCCACGTGGCTACTGGGAATTGCATTCCCAGGTCCAGTTCCCAGTTTGTCATGTAGGAAGGTTTTGTTGCCGTATATTGGGTAAGAAGTGTATTGTAGCAGAGGGATAGTGCTTTAACCTTGGGAAGTTTCCCCTTACACTTATGGACAAATGGTGGTATGAGGTTATATTCTTTCAGGATAATCCGGCTTTCCTGAATAATATTCTTTAGCCTCAAATAAGTGAATAGTTCCCTGGCTGGGATATTAAATTCCCTAACAATTTCGGGGAATGGTTTGACGCCCACTTGGGTTAGCAAGGAACGTACCCCTGAGATCCCCCGGCTAAGCCAGTTTTCTAGCTGTAGGTTCGTCGTGCGGGTAGCCAAGGCTTGAAGTGGTGCCTCAAGGAGTAGATCATTCTCCTTGAGGAATAGAGGAATAGTTTGTCTCCAAGTCCGGAGCATTATCCCCGTAGTTGGGAGCAGGTTTTTTGATTGTAATGGTATTGAGCTTGCCCAGAGGAACATTGGAATCGTGCCAGTGGACAGACATGCGTTTTCCAACGCCAGCCACACCGGAGGGGACTTCCTCTCAAGGATCGTGAGGCCTTGTGCCATTAATGAAGCTTTGTGGTATAATTTAATGTTGGGTACGCCCAGCCCGCCTTTTGTGAATGAACGCCAAAGAGAGTTTTGTGTTATTCGTGGGGGCTTACGCTTCCAAATGTGTGCATTGATCTTGGCCTGAAAGTTCCTCAATATCGGGTTCGGGATTGTAATAGGCAGGGTGCGAAAGAGATATAGAATGTGTGGTAAAATCATCATTTTAATGGTATGGATACGCCCAAGCCAGGAGATTTCCTTGTCCTCCCAGGATCGGAGCTGTTGATCTAGTTTATGTAAGAGTGGCGTATGGTTTTCCTTTATTGTCAATGTGTGTGAAATTGGCAGTTTTATGCCCAGATATGAGGTGGAGGATTTCCTCCAGTCAAACGGGTACAGTGTTTTAAGGTGTGAGAGGAGGGTATGGGGCAGCCCCAATGCCAACGCTTGTGTTTTTTTGGCGTTATTCTTGTAGTAAGACATCTTACCGTATCTTCCTAATAGTGTTAGCAAGGATGGTAGTGATGTCTCAGGGTGTGTTATAAAAAGGAGAACATCATCTGCGAAAAGGGCTATTTTTTGCTCCCCTATAGGCGTTGATAGGCCCGTAATATTGTGGTCGGATTTAATATGTCTGATTAGGGGTTCCATACAGAGAATAAAGATTAGAGGAGAGAGCGGACACCCTTGTCTAGTACCATTTGTTATATGAAAAGGTTGTGACAGGAATCCGGAGTTGAATATTTTGGCTGACGGCTTGGAGTATAAGACCATTATGCCTTTCAGGAATTCTAGAGGGAAGCCCATGTAAGTCAGTACAGATCTCATGTATGTCCAATTCAAGCGATCAAACGCTTTTTCCGCGTCTAGGGCTAATAGTAAGCCCTTCTGATTAGTATTTTGGGCCCAGGTAGTTAAGTTTAAAAAATGGTGCGTGTTGTCCCCAGGTTGTCTGTTCGGGACAAAGCCTGCCTGCTCCAGAGAGACCAAATCCTGTAGGATGGGTTGGATGCGTGAGGCTAGTAATTTGGCATACAATTTTGTGTCAGCATTCAGCAGCGAAATAGGCCTTAGGTTGGCGCATTCCGTAGGGGGTTTACCCGGCTTAGGGAGTGTAACAATATGGGCTAGCAACATCTCTTCTGGCATGGAGCCTGAGTCCCTAAAGAAATTAAAAAGGTCTGTAAGGTATGGTGTGAGTTGTGCTTCGAATATGTGATAAAAGCGGTTGGGAAACCCATCTGGCCCCGGGGCTTTGTGTTTGGGTAACTTTAATATAGCTTGGCGCACTTCGTCTTCCGTGAACTTAGCTAACAATGTCTGCCTTTGATGTACAGACATGCATGGCAGATTTGCCTCACCCAGAAAGGTGTCTATTTCAGGTTCTAGCGGTTGGTGTAATGATGTATCTTGTGTAAGGTTGTATA